TATAAAATAAAATGAATAATAAATAAATAAATAAATAAATAATTTTTATTACAATATTTACCATTATGCCAAGTCCAATAAACCCGACAGTATCATTTTTAGAGCGCTAAATTATAAATATATAAAAAAAAATTATTACATGGACCTTAATTCATAATAAGAAAAAGGGTCTCATCTTACGTCTATTAAACATAAAAAAAATAATAAAATCAATAAATAAAATAAAATAAAATTATAAATAAAATTATAATATAAATATAATTATAATTATAATTAGTATCATTCCTTTATCAATTCCTTAAAGTTTTAAGTAACTAAAATTTTATACCTGAAGTAGAATAACGACGTGCAATGTTAAAACCAATCTTAACCAGACGGGTTTTAAAATTCCTAGTAACGAGTTGGGACAAACGATTTTGAATCATCATAATAATAATTGATCCGAAATCACTAAAACATGACCTTTTATATCTATTTATCGTTGTACCTGATACATACACGTACATAATATGAATGACTATAAAGATCAACCTGCCTACTGTAAATGAAATACCGATTGGAATTCAGATCACCTTAGAAGAATATTGAAAGTATACATCGACTAACGCTAATGGAGCATATTTATAATAATACACTGATAGTTAAATTGATGATATATTGATGATATATTAACATTATATTGATCTCGATCAAAAGTCCGATTGATTTTTATTTTATTTATTATTGAAACATTATAAAATTCACTAAATTTATTACCAGTTATAATAAAAGATAAAACTCAAATAATATTTATATAATATTTATAAAATCGTCATGAATAATTCTTTGCCAATCTTCAGCACGAACCGAGTAAATCAGAGGGGATTTTGGAATCAATTTACATGTTTCAAGAACGCCTTTAACACGATATTCATAAAGCATATCTTCTATAGCATGTAATTCATGAGTACGCATTTCAAAATCTTCGATAACTATAGAAAGTCCAAGTTTTAATCTTTTTTGATTCTCCCAATTCATTAAAAATGATTTAACTGCAGTGTAACTAAATGTCAAAGCGGTTTCATATTCATCTTCCGAGTAATCAAACTTGATATTACATAAAGTAGTTGGCGCATGATTAATAAAGAGATTAAAGAGGATATCACCATCAAGTAAACGTTTATCATATTCTATTGAATCCCGAACGGAAATTTGAGCACGTAAAGAGAAACCTTCTAAATGAAGACATGAATCCAATAGACGACGAATGTTTTCAAGAGTTTCATCGGAAATAGAGTTGAAAGGAATACTAAGATATCTAAGGTTTGGGCAAAAACCTATGATAGCATGAAATAGTAAGGCAGAATTCTCAGGATCAGAGCATAGATAATTGCTTAAATAAATCCTTTTGAGCAACTTATTTGTTCTAGAAATTATTGAAGCCAAGATTGTCAAGGAAGGAAAATATCTCCCAAATTCTAAAATTTCTAGAAATGGAAAGCAAGCGGTAGCTATACCAGACCAATCAACTTCATGACAAGTTATAATCAAAGATCTTAAATTTCGTAATTCAGAAATACCCAATACAGGAAAACAAGTGTCAAATGATTTCAAATAAAGATGAGTTAAAGAGGTAGAATGTCCGGAAGTGAAAACATTAGCAATTCTTAACCATAATCCATAGGAGATGTTAGTCATACTCAAGGAAGTAAGATTATTCTGATTTTGGATGAGATCGATTAAACCTTCATCATAATGTATATATATCTTACTATCGATTGATAATGATCTAATATTAGAAGAAACACCAGCAATGCAGTTGAGTAGATTTAAATCAATCGTATAGGGCTCGTAACAAGATAAATCCTTTAAAGTAGCAAAAC